GATTGCTGATTTATATACCTGTGCATTTTCAAATGTTTGAGTTACAGGTGTTGTATGTTTGTTTTTCTTACAGGTGCGGCAGTTGGTGACACATTACACATTTCTATTTTGTTCTGTCCTTTTATTACATCTTACCCTAGTCCCTGTATACCACATATAATGTAACAACTTTAAATAACATGAAGAGAAATGAAGCAATGAACCGACAAACCCTGAACAAGATAAATTATAGAGCTGACGTTGGAAAAGCAAAATGTGTTTGACACAACAATGCATTCAGATCATAATTCTGATTGCCAATATATAAATAAAATCATATATATATTAGTTGTTTGCCACTATATTGGTATCAACATTTATAACGGCTGATAACTGAAAAGTAAAAAAGCGAAGAAGAGATTCGAGAATTCCGTTGCATAGTTTGTCCACCAGAGGGTGCTCTGCAACTTCCCTGTTTGCAACAACTAACATCTAACATTATCATAGTAAGGAGTCATAAATTCCTACATGTAGCAAATACTAAGAGAAATCTATTTGTATTTTGATTTTGAAAGACAAAAAAATATCAACTTTCATATCAGAATTTTAAACGGCCAAATATCGGTATTGGTATCAGTCTTAAAAATCCAAAATCCTATATAGTTGTGCACTTAAGGACATCTGTGAATTCTACAGATGGCACTCACTGCATTTTTCACTGATTTTGTTTTGGTGTGGGGCTCAAAGCCACATGTGAAATACAATACATCTGTCCGGATGAGAGGCATATGTCAGATATTATTTTCTTTTGCTTCTGTAATTCAGGGTCGAGGGAGCCGGGCACTGGTGTCCTATGAGAGTCTGTCCCAGCTATCTTAGGGCAAGACACGGGGGTATTACCACACCTCTATTTCGGCATCAGCATAGTAATTCATCCATCCATTATAATTGTTATTTAATAATAATAAAAATAATAACATTATTATTATTATTATTATTATTATTATTATCCATCCCCTGTTAGCAATAATATTAATATAGTAACTGCTGTAGCAAAAAAGAGTTTCCCAAATACAGGAAAAAGGTAAGTCTTTCCGGTCATCTCATAATCTAAGAAATACATTTTTTATTACAGCAATTAACAGACCACCACTAGTAAAAGTGCACGTTTACTACTACTACTACAAATAATAACAACAACAACAACAACAATAATAATAATAATAATAATAATAATAATAATAATAATGATAACAAAAATAACATGGAACATTGCTGTCAGTATCAAAAGCTAATATTGGTTACTACTAAACAATTGTTGCCTTTTTATTTGTATCCATTGATCTGTAACATGTGACATGTGACACTATAAATTTGTAGTGTTTTAAATAAACATTTAAAAAAGATTTTTTTTGTGCCTGTCTTCATAACATTACAATAAATACGACCAATATAATATATATTTCATATTTAAATAATGATATAATATTTGTGTATAAAAATAAAGCTTACAACAGACCCATTTCATTACTACTTACACGGCGTTCACGATAACAAATATGGTTTTTCATAACGTACCCTTTCTGGGCCGGTTTTCTTCTTTTCCGCGCGGCATACATCTCGCTGATTTATTCACAGTGAAGCTGGAGGAAATCCATCAAACTGGTCCAGAAACCGCGGATCACCAACACCTGTTCTCACCGACTAATGTGCAACATCCCGGGCCGTCACCGTTAGCCAGAGCCGTGATAACGACAACTACAGCGCTAATTCAAAGGGCTGAAACAGACGCCATAGATAAACTCACAGTGAAGCTGAGGCACCGAGGCTCCCGGTGAGGAATGTCAAAGTAGTAACGGTACCGTCACCGGTTTATCCCGTCCATGGCGCCCCGCCGGCGGCTCAAATCCAGCATTAAAAACAAACAGTTTGAGCTTCACATCCTGACACATCAAAAAACTGTAAGAATCGTCGATAAATTTCGGTTGTCGTCCTCACAGCGGTCCTCCCTGTTTGCTGTCTCTCTCTACTCTGCTCTCTGACCGGCGCGCGCTTCCCGGGCACCTTTCTGGGCACTGATTTGAAGCCGAGAGCGCGCTTCGGGTCAGAGGTGACGTAAGAGAAGAAAAAAAAACGTCGCCGAGTTTTCATTTAAAATGTAAAAAACAACGTTTTTCAACATCATAAATGTACATGTTGTTGTTTTCTGATGTTAAAATTCATTTCCTTGTTTATGTTTTTTTTGTTTTACAAAATATAACAAAGTATGAACCACAAAGTTTTTCTGGATTATTATTATTATACATTGTTTATACATTTGTTATACATTGTTTAAATACATTTTTATACATTTTTTGTATGTTTAAAAATTGCAGTAAAGGTTTTGTTTGTTTGTAAGAAAAACAATAACGATCAGTTGAATTTAAAATAGCAGCACTTTTTTAAAGCTTGCAAGCTGCAATTTATTTTGCTTAAGGATTTGTACAGCGAACTCTATATGAGTTCTTTAATTGTGTTTCAAGGGCAATCTTAAATGTTTCAAAATCAGAAAAATGTCTTCAATTTTAGAAGGATTCACTCTTAAATTAGGCTTCTAAGATGTCACGTTTAAAAAAAATGTATTTACCAGCAACTTATTTTGTGCTATTGCTGCATTAAAGGTCGATTGCCTCATGTTAGCATATATACTGGAAAAGCTTTAGCTTTTTGAGCAATTTTAAATACATTTGTTGTCACAATTTTAATTTTATATCACAGTCAAAACATCTATCTGTCCATGAAGCATACAACTACGTATGTATTTATTTTTTTATAAATATATTTTCTAGCCCTATTTGCAGAAATCATCAACTTAAAGTTTAACTTCAAGGAAAAAGTCAAACTTACCAAAATAGTTACACTGTCATCTAGTGGCCACTGTGGAAACCATCACAACAATCCAAACCAGTAATATTATATTATATTGTATTATTAATCACTTTATTCGTTATTAATTATTAATTAATATGTATTTCTGAATTTCAATCCACTGTTTTATTTTTAATCCCAAATTTTCCTAAAGGAGGTTTAGAAAAACTTTGTTTTCACAAAAAAATAAAATAAAATATAGCAATTGTGTGATCAGATCACATTTAATTTATATGGTGAGCATGTAAAGAGTCAAACACTCATACACAATTAAAGCCAAATATTGACGGCAAAGCCACAAGATATAATAAAAAAACATCATAACAGGAGGTTACATACATATGCAATGTGCAGAAAATGTACAAAAAAATGATAAGCGTGGGTCATGTTAAGGCAATACAATATTAAAATACACAATATATGACGATACATACTTTGGAGAAAAAAAGCATAAAAGGACAAATATATATATTTATATACAGTTACACAAAGATACTGCATTTGGAGTCTTGGCCTCCGACGGATTGAAAATGAAAGTAGAGTAAAAGTACAAAGTCAGTATAATGTAGATAAAGCAACAGGAGATATTTATATTTCCACTTAGAGAATACTTTATGAAGAAAAGCTCTGATTAAAAGAAGAGGAGGAGAAGCAGAAGTGCTGTGAAGAACTATTTCTGTACTGAATCTCCATCTCCACCCGTGAGTGCTGATATTTAGTTTTGCTTTCATGGCTTTTGGTGAAACTGCTGCAAAAGTTCACAACGACGTTTACACAGGCACAAACTTGGAGCTGCATGAGGTCAAATTCTGGTGCTTTAGAACAAGCTGTAAAAAACTAAAAAACACTTTCAGATAACTAGCGCCTGAGCGATATAGGGTTTTGAAGAACGATACCAATACCGATATTGGTAATCTAAAAATCCAATATTGTGATATAATGGCAGATTTTTTTCTTTCAGACACATGAAACATCAAGAGATTTTCCTAACATTATTATGTGTAGTTATTCACTTATTCTCTGACCAACTGTTGTTTTGTGGGGTTCCACACATGTATTGTAGTGCGTGGGGCTGGACGGCGCTAATGTGTTAACGCTCTAATGCGGGGCGATCCGCGTTAACTCGCTAACGGAGATTTGCCGCGATAATGCGGTTATGGTGTTAACGCCATTTTAACGAGATTAACCCTGACAGCACTAGTTTCTAACCTTGATGCCACTGATTTAGTCATGTGAACAAAAATTCACAGCTCAGAACAGGTTGCTTTGTTTCCTAAACTGTTTTAAACAGACAGTCAAAAAGAGGTCAATTTAAAAGACACTATAAAGTGTGAATTCTTTTTTTTTTTTTCCATTTTTCTCTCATTTAAAATATACAATAGCTGCCTCTGAGTGTTTTACTTCTGTGTTTCAATGTTACTCCGATAGCAAGAAATGAGTAAAAGAAGAAGAAAAGACACAAAGGATGGAGGTTTGTTGTGGGTAACAAGAAATCTGGTTTTGAAAAAAATCCTCAGCTTCAGTTTTTTTTTTTAAGATTTAGTTGTTTGGATTTACAAAAAGATAACAATAAAAGTTTTTTAAAAAATCTGAACTTTGACTCAGTTTAAGTTTTATTTTAATTTGTTTGATTTTATCATTAAAACATTTCGATATAACCTTTAAATGACATAATTAAAAAACAACAACTAAGTACTAAAGTTGTCTAAATTGTTCTCAGTTTTTTGTCTAGCAATAGTAAGTCTCGGACTTCTCACTGTGCTTTGGCAAGTCAAACAATTTAAAGGAGTAGTGCAAAAAAAAATCTCAAATAATGGCTAAAGCTTCAGTCACACAGGCAAACAATGGTTGCTTGCAGTTGCTGGGTGAATCATTTGTGCCGAAAATCTCCTTGCAAGTGCGTTGGTTGCTAGCAGATTGAAGCAGTTGACGCTCACTTGTCTGCAAACTATTTTAGTGGTAGTGAAACTGTAAAAAAAAGTTGTCATTCATGGAAACAATAGGTGACTGCAGCAATCTGGTAACGATCTAAACAACCACAAAGAAGTTTTTTGTGATTGATTGCAACCTCGAGCACCGCTTGTTTGGAGAATGCATGCTTCTCCCTAGTGGCTGGAGGCTATTTGGGCCTGCGTGACTTAGTTAAGGCAAGGGCAACTTTGGTCTTCTAATTAATCTCTACTGACTGTCCCTTTAAAGTTCCTGTCAGTTTAAGGCACAATCTGCAATTTTTTTCCTGGTACAATAAAAATAAAGCAACAACACAAAAGGAAAAGGAAGGAAAGAAAACTGGCTCAGTGACAAAGCTCTTAAAATATATCAACAAGCAGCTGGTTTCACTGAATTAAATCTTACGTATGGTCTGTTAGTAGGATGATGCCGATGTCTGGTTGTGCGTTTCTTTTCTTTTTAAACTACAATAATTTTCTACCCTGTCTGCAAAGCAAATCTCCCTCACTGGGACAGTGAAGACTTGAAATGAACTGAATCAGGATGCCTGTTCAAAGGGACATAAAACAGCAATGTTTAAAAAAAAAAGTTGGTATATGCTATCCTTCTGAGCGTTCAAATTAGCAAAGGTGTTGAAATTGTGTACATTGCAGACGGCAGAGGATTGACAGGCGGTTGCCTCAGTGATGTTTCCTTTAACTTCCAGGTCCATCTGCCCCACCCAAAAACATCCCATCCACACAGTAAGGGGATTTTAAAAAAGAATAAAAAATAAAGGAGAAGGGAAATCATCTGCTTTTTATTACAACAGGGGGAAGCTAACCCAACCAGCCAGTCCTCATCTGTGGCGGAATATATACATGACCTTACTAATATAGTGATCTTCCTCTTAATTAATTGGTTTTTAAAGTGCAATTGCTGGATAGCACCACCAGGTGGAGCCTCCGTCCTTTTTTTGCTGAGTTTCTGCCAGCTGTTGGAAAACCTGTTTTCAAAATTTGGGGCATTTTTTTGGTTTAAAAACTCATTTCAAATATATTAAAACAATTTGAGTTGGTTAACTGGGTTTTGGTGGCTGAGGTCTGATTGGTTGGTCATGTCAGCTTCACCTACCTCTGATAAAAAGCAGCGCCCTTTAACTTGTTTCCATCAGAGGGATCAACTCAGTCAGACTGGACTCATTTTGGTTCCCATACATCCAAATATTCTCACCAAGCAGTCGTTTTGCATTGGTACAATCCAACCACATCCGAAAGAGGAATCCAAGCTTTTATCCTGATTTTTCGTCCTGTTGAGCCACCCTGAACCAAACATGAACTCTAACAGCTTTCATCACTGTTTCGTCATAAGAGAAAGAAAAGAAAACAAATAAAAAGAGGGAGGGAGGGGTGTCTTTGATTGTCTTCTCGTCCATTTTCTGGCACTTTCTTATTCTTCAGTCTTTTCCTTTCAGTTCAAGTTGAGATCCTCTGCCGTCCAGAAGTCACAGCGACTGATTCCTATTTGTTCTCTGAGTAGCACATGTTCCCATTGGGCAGCGAAGGGAAGGGGAAAACTCCGTTCCCGACAACTGGAAGGTTGTTCATCTGTGTGACGACAAACGACAAGTTAGAAGGACTAATTTCTTCAGACACCACAGAAAGGATGCAAATACAACCTACCAACACTGACTGATCCAACAGTTCGACTAATAGTGGACTTTCATGTTTAAAATTCAGCTGAATTTAGTTTTTTAAACATAAAAAAACAACTGTTTCTAGACCAAAATCACCCAGACATGAAAGGACTTGGAGTGCCACTGTATGCGGATGAAAAACACTGACATTAAATTTCTAGCTGTGTCAAGAACACATCTGATCGACCCCTCTGTGAGCAATTATAAGCTATAGCAGATACACCAAAGTCATGTGTATAAAAATACATCACATAAGACAACAGTTATAGATTCTAAAGGAGAAAAGTATATAGGACATTGTAATTAGAGGCTGCAAAGCTTTCCCCACGAGGGGGCAGTGTTTTACCAGAAAGTGTTAAAGTAGTTGCCCCTGTGTTGAGAAACACACCACAAAGACGTGCTTGCTGAGTTAAGTGATGACTTTAAATTGGTCGTAAGTGTGAACATGAGTGTGAACAGCTGTGTGTGTCTTTCTGAGCTGGTGCCCCTCACCTCCCGCCCTGTGACAGCTGGGACTGGCTAAGTTGTTAAAAAACAGTTTGAAAGGTCATCT